CCCGGCAATGTTCATGGATTACATGAACAGGATCTTCCAACATTTCTTGGATAAATTCGTGGTGGTGTTCATTGATGACATCTTGATTTATTCAAGAACCCCGGAAGAGCATGGAGAACACTTGAGGTTGGTGCTGAAGATTTTGAAGGTGAAGCAGTTGTACGCCAAGCTGTCAAAATGTGAGTTCTGGTTGGAAAAGGTGAAGTTCTTGAGACATGTTATTTCAGCTGAGGGGATTACTATTGATCTGGCTAAGGTGGAGTCGGTGTTGCAGTGGGAGCGTCCAAGAACTATCACTGATATTAGAAGCTTTGTGGGCCTAGCGGGTTACTATAGGAGGTTCATTGAGGGATTCTCCAAGATAGTAGTTTCTCTAACCCAGTTGACTAGAAAGGAGCAGCCTTTTATATGGACGGATGCCTGTTAGCGGAGCTTTGATGAGCTGAAGAAGAGGTTGACTACTTCTCCTGTGTTGGTGTTGCCTGATTTCGGTAAGCCTTTTGATGTGTACTGCGATGCTTCTCACCAGGGATTGGGGTGTGTGCTGATGTAGAACAGGAAAGTAGTGGCATATGCTTCAAGGCAACTGAAGAACCATGAGAGGAATTATCCTACTCATGACTTGTAGGCCGTAAGGTTAAGCTGTTGTAGGAGATCTCCGAGCTGATATGCGTGACGATGCATTATTTGTTTAATGTTATTATGCTGAATGATGTGAGTTGTATTATTGATGTGTTGTATGTTGATCTTGCTGAATTTAATGTTGTGTGATAAGCTGTAGCCATTTATAACTTTTGTATTTATATATAGATATGCTGATTCTTTTCACTAGCTTATCCTTGTTGTTTCCATGTGGTTTGAACTGGAATGATCATACTATGTATGGGAGCATAGCAGGGATAGGTTGGTGTGTTGAGGCAGGTCTGCAGCTGGCAGATGGAGCTGATGTGTGTTGTTTTTGGCTACTTAGTGTAGCTATTTTGATGCATTTTGTACATTAAGCCCTAGGCTAGACATATGTGTATATATTTTATTTTATACATGCATGCTTTATTCTGTGTGGTGCAGTGTTGTTTGCTGTATGACGGCCAGGCTAGTCGTTATAGCAACTACTATTGTGACACTCTTTTATCCGAAAACATTTATTATGAATTTATTATAAAAATATGTCTTTTAGAAAATATTAAATAAAATAAAACTCTTTAGCACACACAATAAAAGAGTTCACGTGTCTTGTCAATTGTATAAAATCTCTTAAAAAATTAAATAAATAAATAAAAGTGATATATGTTCGCAAATGTATGCACAAATTAGTTTGTACAAATTCTTAAAGAAAATAGAAAATAAAGAGATAAACTCTAAGACTAAATCATTGATCTCAAAAGAAAACATAAATAAAGCAACAATAGTCTTCTACCCTTGATGTCATTTTAATCAAAGTAAGACCCATAAAAGTTAATGGAAACATAGGATCCCTTTGGAAGAGATAAGACGAAGAAGAGTGAAGGATGATAAAGTCGATTTGAAGAGTTGTATGGCACTTACCTTAATTTTGTAGGGTACCCTACCTTTGGAGGCATATCGTACCTTAAAAGACTTCTATTGTTGTTATACATTTTTCTTTCTTATAATTCATTTTAGGAGTGATTCTATTAAGATATTTTTGGCCTTGTATTTGCGGTCAAGTAGTGCAAGTAGTATTGTCCTTGTATTGCTCGAGGGTGTAAATAGTAGATTAAGGAAATTGTAACTAGCAAAGTTTTGTTAGTCTTATTTGGACTCAGATGGCCCAAATCATTTTGGCCCACAGGTTTGGACATCCACTTACTCATGCAAGTGGTTTGGACATCCAAACTATGTCAAGCTTGCTATCCAAGCTACAAATTAAGTCACATGGCTTTGATAGTGATATATCAACAAAATTATTAAAAGTGATCATTAGTCTAGAAGTTGTAATGATTAGGTTAGGTGGCTGAAGTTAACTTAAGTTAACCTATGTTAATCTTCAATTAAGATTAGCTTAGCTTGCTCCATAAACTTTTAGACAACTAACTAAACTTGAAGACATTTAACTATAGTTAGTTAGCTTAAGTATAAGATAGATAGCTGAAAACACTTAACCATGGTCAGTCTAGCTTACACTATAAGTCAACCAAACTTTATATATTGTAGTTTTAACCCATTTTGTAGCAACTTTTGAGCATATTATAGAGTGTGGCTGATAATTTTCTCTCATATTCTCTCTCTCAAAGCTTAAATTCTCTCTTTGATTTGCTTCCAATTTTCTTATCCCCTTCCTAAGAGTGTGGTGAGATTTGAAATTGTTTATCTTCTTCCTTGAAGTGGCACCACTTGAAAAGATTTCTTCACCATGGAAGGTGAATCCAGAGGTTTCCTCCTCCATTGGAAACCTTGAAGAACCTTAAGAAGTGTCAAGGAGTCAAAGATTATATCAATCTATATGAACCAATCTTGTTGTGTGCCTTTAGGTTAATCTTGTTCCTGCATTTTAATGTTTTAGGATTTCTTATATCTTGTTTGAAACTCCAAAATATTCAATAAAAAAAACTCGAAAGAAAAACAAGTAGTGTATGCATTTTTCCTTTCTTAGTCTCCTAGTTTTGTCTTAGAAGTTTTGGGTAGTTGTATTACTTTTCATTACTTCTCTTATCTCCCTTTCTCTTTTGAAATCTATAAACATTAGTCTCTATTTTGGTTTGGTTACATTGTTGGCTGCACATATTCATACTCTTTGAAGTGTTCATTGAATGATTCCTATGCATGTTAATAGATCTAGCATGTTCTAATGTCACATTTTGTAAACTTTGACTTGCTAACTCTTAATTAGAAATTTAAGGCCAAAAATTCCTTGAGTTTTTTGTGCTTTGTTTGAGATATACAATCAGATTATGAGTGTAAAACGAAAATTAAAGAAAGTGTACAAAAAAGAGGACAAACTAGAAGCAAAACTAGTTACTAGTAATATAGAAACTTGTTTAGTACACTTACACTTCCTATACATTTTTTTTCACCGCTTTTAAACCTTTTTAATTCATTTTTAGGCCTTTTATTAGTTCTATTATTCAATGTAAAGAAAAAAATAAAGAAATAGTCAAGAAGGCAACAAAAGAAAAAGAAAACAAAAGCAAAAGCTAGAAAAACAAAAGTGTAAAACAAAGAAAGTTTAGAGCATTTGTCCTTGTGGTTTTTGTGTATTTTTCCTTTGGTTTACTCTTTTTCCAATGGCTGGAAACACATTAAAATCTCTCAAAATTTTAGTATAAATTTTTGTTTCATTTCGTAATCAACTTTAGTGTCATTCCTAGGACTATTCCTTTGGAAGCTAGTGTTGAAATCGTACTTTAATTTCTTGTTTTGTATCTTTAATATTTTGAGCTTGTCATATTTATTCCTACTTGAGTTCAGCCTCTTCTAATTGTACTTTTTATTCTTAATTTTATTGACTTCTACTCTCTCTTGTTGGTTGTTAATTCTTGGTGGTGATAGGTTCATTTTTAAGTTCTCAAACTTGGAAACAAGTTGATAATTGAGACATATTAGAACTACTTCAAAGGGGGCTTCAACCTTTGGGAGATTGAGGTACCTAAAATTTTGAGTGAAACACTTTTGTGAGGCTACCTTGTATGTTCATTTTGTA